ATCTTGGCCTGGGCCTCTGGGGAACTCTATATATTTCAATCCCGCTAATGATTATTCTACTTCTGCATCCAAGTTTTGTAGATTGTAATGTTGTCAAAAATCATCTTTCTAAAGTGATTTTTCAAAAGTATTGGCATAAAGTGGTTTATAAAACACTCTTGGGCTTTCTAAAATATTTATCTGGTATGTCCTCTTTGCTTTTTGTAACAGTTTATGTTTGTGTGTTTAAGCAGAAGTTTGTTGCTTTCATAAATGTTTATTTATTTTCAAGGCAGACTAGTGCAGAGGGAAGGAGGGAAGCTGGATTGGAAGCAGAGTAGCTGGGACTGGAGCCAGCACTCCAATGTGGGACGTCACCGTCACCAGTGCTAGCCTGATCCACGGTGCCACAATGCCAGCACCTGTAAGCTTTGTTTTTTATAGTCAACTACATTTTATTTTGTTTTCCATTTTACTCATTTCTGCTTTTGTATTATTCTTTCTTTCCTTCTGCTTTTTTGGTGTTATTTTTTTGACCTCCAAAATTGAACAATTAGTTCCTTAAAGTTTTCTGTTTTGTTAATGAGTCCACTTCATGCTGTAAAGTCCCCTTTAGTGTTTAGTTGGATCTCCTGAGCTTTGTTCTGAATTTCTTTGCTGTTCATTTCTAAATATTGTGTAATTTCCAGATTGGTTTTCTTTTTAATCTGTGTTTTTCAGTTTCCAAATGTATGTTTCTTTTCTTTTTCTTCTAAGAATATATGATAACATCTTTTGACACATTAAAAGGTATAAACATTAATAAAGTGAATAACTGTACACACAAACCTGTATCATCACCTTGCCTAAAAAATAAAACTCAAATTTATGCTTGAACATTTAAAAAAAAAGTTTCTCTTTCCTAAGTTATAGATATAAACGGTAAAAAACAAAAAAGCAGTCTAACTTCCTGGCTGCTTCCTCAGAAGCAACTGAAGTCACTACTTTAAGGTGTGCTCTGTCTGTTGTACGAGTTTCCTTGGGCTCCCTTTGTGTTGCGAATTTTTAATTTTACTGTGCTGCGGTTCCTGAATGTGGTCTATAGATTCTCTGGAATTTACTGCAGGTTTCTTTGTGGCCTAACACCTAGCCAATTTCTGTAAACGTTCCAAGCATGTTGGAAAAGAACAGATGTGCCGAAGATGTTTTTTGCAAAATACAAACTTGATCATGTTCCGTCTCCTCTGTCAGCTTCTCTGGTCCTCTGGTAGATGACCAACGACCTTGGCATATGATCTGGCTCCAAGCTACTTCTCTAGTCAAGGCCTCGGCCACCCCGTGGTGTCCTACAAATTTATGTCTGTGTCACTATCAGGCATTCTAGGGTGAACAGAGAATTTCTCCCAGCAGTCCAGGAGCAGGTGGTCCAAGGTCTGACCCATCCCAGGGCTTACTCAATGAACTCATCACACAGCGAGCGGTCTTTGGGGGTCCAGTCACCCTGTCAGGGGCCACTCCCACATCATGAACTCCGGCCCTCGCCTCTTACTTCTTCCTGCTCAAGTGGACCCACCTCCCTGAGACCTCGGGCTGCGAGACTCTGCTATTCTGATTTGTCAGCACTCTCCCTTCTTCCTGGTTCTGCCTGCCCAGACTGTCGGGAACCCCTTCAAAGTAGCATCCTCCAGCAGCTCTGCCTTTGACAATCTGCTGCATACCTCCAACCCCAGCCCATACCACGACGAATCCCAACCAAGCAGCTGTTCTGAGCCCTCTGGGCTGGGCCTAAGAGATTGAGGGAGGGGCCCCCACTGTGGTGTAGTGGGCAGCACCAGCGTCCCATTTGGGTGCCAGTTTGAGTCCCATCTTCTGATCCAGCTCCTTGCTGATGCGCCTGGGAAAACAGCAGATGGCCCAAGTGCTTGAGCTCCTGCACCTGTGTGGGAGACACAGAAGCAGCTCCTGGCTCCAGGCTGGCCCAGCTCTGGCCATTGCAACCATTTGGGGAGTGAACCAGCAGACGGAAGACCTTTCTCTCTCATTCTGTAACTCTGCCTCTCAAATAAAATAAATAAATATTAAAAAAAAAAAAGATTGGGGGGAAGATACTTTCTTAAAATGACACAATTCTACATGAAAAAAGTATTTTAAAAATTATTTATTCAAAAAGACAGAGAAACAGAGGGACAGAATGACAGAGCTCTGACATCTGCTGGACCACTGCCCTAATGCATGCAACAGTCAGGCCTGGAACTCAATCTGGGGCTCCCACATGGGTGACAGTCTTCGGCTACCTCCCAAGGTGCACGTTGGCAGGAAGCTGGACTGGAAAGCATAGGTGGGACTCGAACCCAGGCACTCCGATAGGGGACGTTAGCATCCAAAGTGCTAGGCCAGACATCTGCCCCCGGATCAGATACCTGTCAGCTCTGCACACAGGTGGTCTCAGCCTTAGCGGAATGTTGCTTGTGAAATATGGTGCATGTCCCAAACCTTCCAACTGCTTTCTTGAAATCCCCTAGCATCTCTTCAGCCCCTTTATGTAGCAGAATGATAGTTTGCTATTTGATGGCAAAAACAGAAAGCATTAGCAGGGAGCCTTTGCTGACCTATTTTTTTTTCCTCTTTTCAGAAGTGTCTTACTTCCAGCCTAGGGCAAGAGTAACCCTCTCTTTTCTGTGGGTTTAATTGATCGATTGTTCCCTCTGCTCTGGTCCTCAAGTCTAGGTTGCCACAACTGTGTTTCCTGAGAACAGTCACCCACACTCCCTCTCCATTTCCCCAGCTTTCCTTCCTCAGCCTCCTTGGGAGTGCCATCTGGTGACACTGCTTTCACTGGCCATGGCCAAAGACAATAGTAAAAAAAAAAAAAAAAAGTTTAAAGGTCTTAATTGGCTTTCATTCACCACCCTCTGAAATGGACCAGGTTCGGAGGATTCTGGGGCTGCGGTTGCTCAGACGCAGGGACGGGCAGAAAATACAAATGAGGTACAGAGACGGCTGGCTTGGGTCCAACTGCGGGCTTTGGCCTCATCGGAGTCAGCTGTCCAGGGTGAGTGACTGAGGCTCTCAGCCGGTCTCCATACCAAGCCAGGCTGCAGCAAGTGGCTTGGTTCACCCGGTAAATGCCACGGAGGCACAGTGTTTGTGGAAGCTTGAACTGGACACAGATCAAATTATTCCAAATCACTGGCACATCTTTCAGGCCTCTGCAGAGTACTGACAATTCTGACTATGCTCCACTTAGCTGGCCCTGGCTTCTGTTCCTGGGCCTTGCCTTGTCTCTCGGTACACACCAGGAATGCACCTGCTTCATTACAGAAGGGGATGGTCTTGCCCAAGTCCTAAACAAGTGCTGTCAGGTGCACGTTGGCCCCTTATCACCGGACTTCCCCCTTTTTCAAGAGCAATCGGCTATCCAGGCTGCTCTGTGAAATGCCTCACCTTTAAATACTGATGAATGGAATTTAACCAAACAGTGCAGGGCAAACCAGACAATGAAGTTCTTCCTTAGGGCTGTCCTTTTATTTGTCCACAAGGCAGCTTGTATTAGTAATCTATCTTATGCTTTCAAGGGCTTACTCTGTGCCAACATGCTTCTAAGTGCTTTGCTTTTTTTTTTTTTTTTAAAAAAGATTTATTTATTTATTTGAAAGGCGGAGTTACAGAGAGGCAGAGAAAGAGAGAGAGAGAGAGAGAGGTGTCTTCCTTCCGTTGGTTCATTCCTCAGGTGGCCACAACGGCTGGAGCTGAGCCGATCTGAAGCCAGGAGCCAGGAGCTTCTTCTCAGTCTCCCATGAGGGTACAGAGGCCCAAGGACCTGGGCCATCTTCTACTGCTTTAGCAGAGAGCTGGATCAGAAGTGGAGCAGCTGGGACATGAACAGGTGCCCATATGGGATTCCAGCACTGCAGGTGGATGTTTTACCTGCTATGCCACAGTGCCGGCCCCTAAGTGGTTTGCTTTTAACCTTCACTTAATATAACAGCCCTCTCAACAAGGTGCTTTTATCACCCCAGCATTAAGATGAGCAAACTTGGGGCCAGCGCTGTGGCGCAGCAGGTAAAGCTGCCCCCTGTGGCACTGACATCCCATATGGGCACCAGCTGGAGTCCTGTTGGAGTCCCGGCTCCTCCACTTCCAATCCAGCTCCCTGCTAATGCACCTGAGAAAGCAGGGGACGATGGCCCAAGTGCTGGGGTCCTTGCACCCATGTGGGAGACCCGGAAGAAGCTCCTGGCTTCCGATGGGTCCAGCACAGGCTGCTGTGGCCATGTGGGGAGTGAACCAGGGGATGGAAGATCTTTCTCTATAGCTCTGCCTTTCAAAAAAAAAAAAAAAAATCTTAAAAAAAAAAAAAAAGAGAGAGAGAGCAAGCGTGAGTGCTCTGACGTCCATCTGAGACACTGAGGGTGAGGATGGCGATTCGGGCTTGACCACCTTGCTGCCAGGTTCCAGCTTCTAACGATGCCCTCTCCTGCCTTCCCCAGAAATGCGGCCTGCAGAGGTGCGGGGCTTCTCCAGGACCACCGCGGCAGCAGGCAAAGCTGCCAGCTGGGGACTCGGGCGGCGGCTGCGGCCTCAGAGCTGGCTGAGAGCAGCTGGGAGCATTCCTCGGGGGTGCAGCCCCGGTTCCCCAAAGCCGTGCGCTCACTCCCACTGCGAACTCCGTGAATCCTCACCCGCCTCCCCGGGTTAAGTCGATGGCCAACATTTACACTCGATCTCAGCCGTCCGGCCAAGAAGCGGTGAGGGCTAACATTTAATCAGCGCTTTCCTGACGCTGAGCAGTTGATTTTTCCCTGGAACTACTAAGATCCCATCTAATGGAAAAACACACTGAGGCTCAGAGCAGCGCAGGAGTCAGGATTCTCTCCTCGCTGTGCGACCCGTGGCACAGAGATATCCCAGGCCGCACGCAGTTGTTCCTCAGGGACTTCCGTCAGGAACACCCCCGCAGGGCCGCAGCCGGAGGGAGCCAAGAGGAAGCCTGTTCCCGTAAATACTGAAAGCGGCGGGAAACCCCGTAACTCCACACCTACCGCACGGATACCGGAACACCAAGGAGGCGGCGCGAGCGGGAACACAGGAAGTGCGTCACTCTGTGGGCGGGGAAGCACGCCGAAACCTACCAATGGGAGCACCGCATTCGCTTTCACCCCGCCTAAGGGGCGGGTCCGAGCCCGCCTTCCGGCCGTCTGTGGCGGGTGCTCGGGGGCGAGGGGTTCCGGACGCCTTCCGGGAAGAAAAAGGGGCGTCCAGAAAGGCGAGGAGGTGGACGGAAGGTGGGGTTGGGGGCGACAGGCAGTGGGGTTCCCACCTTCTGTGCGGTGACGAAGTGTGGAACTAGGAGGTGGGGGCTTGGGCGTCTTGGCTGACGGGGAAGCGGGCTGCGTGAGGGGCAGCCGAGGCTAGGAGGCTGGGGTCCGCTCCCCCAGCACACACACACGCAGACATTTTAGAATGGTGGTGGCAGGTGGTGGGGTCCGGGCTCGCCCTTCGGGGCCAGAAGCTCGCCTGTTTTGTATACGGCGCTTCTCACCTTGGCGCCAAGCCCACGGTCCCCTCCTCGAGCCCCGCGGCCACACAGGTGCAGAAGCCAGCGTTGCCCTGGGGTTTGGGGACGGTGGCGTGACGCACACGGCCGCCGTCGTGTGTCCCCCCCTTGGGCGTCCTGCGGCCGAGCGCCTGCCTGCGCCTTCACGCGAGGGGGACGGAGACGAACCGCAGGTCGGCTCGCTGCGGGTCAGGGCAGGTTTCCACACTCGAGAACCAGGTTCTGCTTTCAGCCTGTTTGGGAACTGAGAAGCGGCGGTTGAGGGTCCCGGATCGTAGTGTTCTCGGAAACTTTGCCGGTTGCCTGGCCTCGGTTTTCTGATCTGTAAAATGGGCTGTGGGGACACGGTCGGACAGTGGTTCCATTGAGATCTGCTTTCTCCACGGCATTTCTGTTTAAAGATTATTTAGATAGTTGATGGCATGGCGGTGGTCCCTGACCCTCCCCTAAAGACCCTTTTGATAGCCGTAAGGGACATAACAAGCACAAACCGACGTGTCTGCATTCGTCCCGCCTCTCGCAAAAAGTTCAGCATTTACTCTAGACCTCATTCTTCTAACGTTTCTTATAGATTTTATTTAATATGCTTATATCTTTTTGGAAGCACGAAGTGAAATGAGCCCACACACCCACTGCCAAGTGAAGAAACAGAACATCCTGGAACCCCCAGAGCCCCCAGTTCCGCCCCGTCCCCCCCAGATTCCTAGGGCCCCGAGTGCTGTGTGGCTCCCTCGTTTTTCTTTGTGGTTTGCACGATCCATGTAGGTATGTCTGATCAGTCCCATGTATGGTTTGCTGGCTTTTGGGTTTTATGGAAGGCGGACCCTGGTAGTTTTGTGTGACCTGGGTTTGCACACCCCGCTGTGTTTCTGAGAAGCATCTGTGCTGATGGGCGTGGCTGTGCCTCAAGGCCTTCATGGCTGTTTTGAACTCTGTGATTGTAAAATTGCTGTATGTGACAGTTCTACAGTAAACAGGCACTTCCACTGTTGCCAGATTCTGTTTCTTCATGTGCTTCTGTAAACGTTTCCAAGGGCAGATGTGGATTTGGGGGGATATGCAGGTTTGCTGTCAGATTGTTAACTTTAGTGGTTTTGAGAATTTTTTTTTATTTATTTTAGTTGCAAAGCACAGACAGGGAGATTTGTATTCCCCCAGACCTTGCAACAGCCAGGATTGCGCCAGGCCAAAGCCAGGAACCCAAAACTCAGCCAGGTCTTCTCCCCTGTGGGTGGCAGGGATCCAGGCACTTGAGCCATCACCTGCCGCCTCCCAGGGTGCACCAGCAGAAGCCATAGCAGAAGCAGAGGAGCTGAGATGTGAACCAGGCACTCTGATAGGGAATGAGGGTGTCCCAAGTGCTAGGCATCCACTTCCAGTTGTAAGAATTTGTATTCTAGGCTGGTGCCTGAGGTGCCAGCATCCCGTGTGGGCGCCGGTTCGAGTCCCGGCTGCTCCACTTCCCATCCAGCTCTCTGCTATGGCCTGGGAAAGCAGTGGAAGATGACCCAAGTGCTTGGGCCCCTGCACCCACGTGGGAGACCCAGAAGAAGCTCCTGGCTCCCGGCTTTGGATCTGCACAGCTCTGGCTGTTGTGGCCAATTGGAGAGTGAGCCAGTGGATGGAAGACCTCTCTCTTTGCCTCTGCCTCTGCCTCTCTGTAACTGTGCCTTTCAAGTAAATAAATAAATCTTAAAAAAAAAAAAAAAAAAAAAAGGTTTTCGGCTCAGCCATTCTTTACAAGTTTTGCCTATCTAGTGGTTGGTTATTTCCCTGTGGTTTTAGTGCTGATTTCCCTGATAAACATTGAGATAGAGTATCTTTTTCATGTGTTAGCTATGTGTACGTCCTCCTTTTGCAAAATTTATTGCCCATTTCCCCTTTCCTGAGTTTAAGGAGTTTCATCAATACCTTCGAGTTGGTGGTGTGCCCCCTTCACTCTCTGCCCCCTCACTGGTGTTTCTGGTGCACAGAGCTCCTTCATTTCCACAAAGTCCAGTTGATGAGCCTGTGTCTTCATGGAGCTCGCTCTCTCTCTCAAAGCAGTCCTCTTTCACTCCTGGGCCACAGGGATGGTCCTGTCCTTTCGTAGAGAAGTCTTGGGCTTTGCCTTCCGCCTGCCCTTGGCCTCTAGAACAGACTTGTGGATCCAGTGTGAGGTACGCATCACGCTGTGTATTTTTTCATGGGGGGATAGTCTGGGGCGGTGCCTTTCCCTGACAAGTGTGCTTTGCTGCGGAGTCTATTTAACCAGCATGTCGAGGGTCCATGGATGTACACCTTTCTGAGTTTGTGTCTGTTCCCTCCCTCTTCACACACGCGTCCCTGTGCCACTGCCACAGGGGTCTCTGGCAAGGCAAGGCCTCCCACCTTTACCTTCCCAAGAATGTCTGCCAGTCTGCCTTCAGGTTTCCTATGGGAATCTTAGAATCATTTTGTCAGAATGTAAACGTACACAAAGCTGTTGGGAGTTCGATTGGGATTTCATTGATTCAGCCACATTGGATTTTGTCACCTTGAGCTTTGACATGATTGCTCTCACCATTGCATCTTCTAAGTATCATGTCTGCTCTAGCTATTTTGTAGATACTAGTGAGTAGACCAAGATGTTTTCTTTTATTAGTATGAATAAATGTTGAATTTTATCAGCTATTATTTTCTGCATGTGTGAAGATGGTCATGTAGTTTCCTTTTGTTTTATTAATGTGACTCACATTGATTTTCTTTTTTTTTTTTTTAAAGATTTATTTGAGAGAGCAGAGAGAGAGAGAGAGAGAGAGGTCTTCCATCCACTGGTTCACTCCCCAGATGGCTGCAACAGCCACAGCTGAGCCGATCCGAAGAAAGAGCCAGGAGCTTCTTCCGGGTCTCCCATGTGGGTGCAGGGGCCCAAGCACTTGGGCCATCTTCCACTGCCCTCCCAGGCCATAGCAGAGAGCTGGATGGGAAGTGGAGCAGCTGGGACTCGAACCGGCGCCCATATGGGATGCCGGCACTGCAGGCAGTGGCTTTACCTGCTACGCCATGGCGCCAGTCCCACCACATTGATTTTTAAATGTTAAGCCATTACTGGAAGTGGCTCCACTAAGTGATGATATATCATCATTCTTTTTGCATTGCTGGATTTGGCTGGTTAGTAGCTTGCCAGGGACTTCGTATCTTGTTCCTGAAGATACTGGCCCAAAATTTCCTGTTGTTTTTTAATCCTCGTTAGGTTAGGTTTTAGTGCACAAGTTAGGTCAGCCTTGTCACATGGATTAGGCCGTTTCCTCTTTTCAGGCTCTAAGGTAGTTTGTGTCACATCTCTAGAACTTTTGGTAGCATTTCTCAAAAAAGTAATTGGTACTTAAAGTTTTGTTTGTGGTAAGATGGATTTCCCATAAAATGTCTTTAATTTTCTCAGACTGCTTAGGTTTCCAAGTAAGTTTGTCATCAGTTTTGAATGAATTTCTTATTAATTTGTTGATATTTAAACTTTCAGATTGCATAAATTGTTTAAAATACTTTTTAAAACATGTTTATGTTATCTGCGGTTAGTTTCTCTCTTTCACTCCGAGTATTGTTTATTTGTGAGTGTTCTCTCTCAAAAAATCTTGTGAGGTTATTCACTTTCGTTGTTTCATTTCTGTTTTAATTTTTATTCATTTATCTTGAGACGCGGTGAGAGAGAGGGAGGGAAGAAGGGAGGGAGGGAGGGAGGCAGGCAGGCAGGCAGGGAGGGAGGGAGCTCCCATCTGCAGTTCAGATGCACACAGTAGTAGGTACGGGGTCAGACTGAAAGTGGAAGCCGAGAACACAACCCAGGTCTGCAGTGTGGGTAGCAGGAACCTAAACCCAAGCCATCACCCCTGTCTCCCAGGATCTACATTTGGGGAAATGTGGAGTCATGGGTTGGAGCTGGGTGTTGGAGCTGGTGTACTTCAATATGGGACATGGTTGTCTTAACTGGTATCTGTTTTGTTTTGTTTTAAGATTTATTTATCTGAAAGAGCAGCAGAGACAGGGAGATACAGAGAGATCCCCTCACCTGCTGGTTCACTCTGTAAATGACCACCAAAGCCAGGGCTGGGCCAGGCTGAAGCCAGGAGTCAGGAACTCCATCCTGGTCTTCCACGTGGGTGGCAGAGACCCAAGGAATTGGGCCTTCTTTCCTGGCCTTCCCAGGTGCATTAAAAGTGGATTGGAAGTGGAGCAGCTCTGATGTGGTATGCAGGCGAAGGCTTAGCCAGCTGTACCACAACACCAGCCCCCTCCTTTAACATTTTTTGTTAATTTGAAAGGCAGAGAGAGAGAGAGAGAGAGAGAGAGAGTCTTCCATCCACTGGTTCACTCCCCAGATGGCTGTAACGATGGGCCAGGCTGAAGCCAAGAGCCTGGAACTCCACCCGGGTCTCTCACGTGGGTGGCAGGGGTCCAGATACTTGGGCCATCCTCTGCTGCTTCCCTAGGCGCATTAGCAGGGAGCTGGATCAGAAGTGGAGCAGCCAGAATGTGAACCTATGCTTGTACGGGCTGCTTGTGTTGCAGTCTGTAGGCGGTGGCTCAGCCCTCCGCACCGC